TTTTTTCTTTTTTTTTTTTTTTTTTTTTTTATATATATATATATATATATATATATATATAAGTGTCTAATGATAATCCAATCCAATTTTTTTAGGTGTATACTGTACCATTGCATTCAGATTTTACTTTGATCGTACAGTACGTGTTGATTTTTCTCTTCACTGTCATACCCCAGATATGGCTATCACATTTCCAGAACATCCTATGTCATCTGCAATGACCCACCAACTATTCATAGAATATTTAGCCGTCTGCGCAATTCTGGGGGTTCAGGTGTTTACCCAGAATCATGTGGTGACTACTGCATCACACACATCAGAGATGTGACCACTGGTTATGACAGCAGTCAGCCTGACAAAAAATGTGTATGTCAAAGCAGTTCTTTTGTATATTTCTTGATTGATGACAAACGGTTTGACAGGAATAAATGTTCTTTTAATATCTCCTTTAGGTCCTTCCATTGTCAAGAAATAGCCAAATGGTCACATTCACATTTCAGAATGGCATTGTTGCGACACTTAGGACCAGCGGCACTGAGCCAAAGATCAAGTATTACACAGAATTCTGTGCAGCACCAGGCGAACGGTTTGTATCTTCTATTAAAGATTTCAAATGAATGATATTGTTGAACATGCATTCACTAATTTTGTGACCGTTCATTAAACATCATTCCAAAAATGGCTCAGAATATTGACACTGGTTTTGAGAAAGCCATTTATGTGTGGCTTAAAGGAACACACTCCACTGTTTTTGAAAATAGGCTTATTTTCCAACTCCCCTAGAGTTAAACAGTTGAGTTTTACCGTTTTCGAATCCATTCAGCCGATCTCCGGGTCTGGCGGTAGCACTTTTAGCTTAGCTTAGCATAGCTCATTGAATCTGATTAGACCATTAGCATCTCGCTCAAAAATGACCAAAGAATTTCTATATTTTTCCTATTTAAAACTTGACTCTTCTGTAGTTACATTGTGTACAAAATGAAAAGTTACGATGATATTACGCAGCACCTGAAAATAGTCCCAGCTAGGTAACTTTCAATAAGCCTATTTTCAGGCGCTGCGTAATATCATTGCGCCTGCTGCACCCATGGTACGGCATCGAAGTTCCTTGATTATTACGCCTGGAATGAGAGTATAGTTCCTAGCCATATCGGCCTAGAAAATCGCAACTTTTCATTTTCCGTCGGTCTTGGTACACGATGTAACTACAGAAGAGTCAAGTTATAAATAGGACAAATACTAGCCATATCGGCCTAGAAAATCGCAACTTTTCATTTTCCGTCGGTCTTGGTACACGATGTAACTACAGAAGAGTAGTTACAGAAGAGTAGTTTTTGAGCGAGATGCTAACGGTCTAATCAAATTCAATGATCTATGCTAAGCTAAGCTAAAAGTGCTACCGCCAGACCCGGAGATCAGCTGAATGGATTTGAAAACGGTAAAACTCAACTGTTTAACTCTAGGGGAGTTGGAAAATGAGCCTATTTTTAAAAAATAGTGGAGTGTTCCTTTAAATGTCCAAATGCATTTTGAGGCCACTGTATTTTTATGCACAATGCAATTATTTGTCTTCTATATTCAAAAACAGAGAAAATGAGGTAATTCTTTTTTTGTTTTTGTGTTTTTTAATTGAATTTTTTGCAGTGATATCTCCAGTCTGGAGGAGGAGTTAAGGAAAGTGACCGCTGCTCTAGTTGAAGAATTTCTAGAGCCTGACAAGAACAGCCTGCTTCACAGATCAGTGTAGCTTAATTTAAATAGTGGTAAGTTCATTGTCTTCATGGGCATCTTGTGTAAAACCAGTCCCAAAGGCCTGTCAGTGAACCGTTCTGTCAGTGTTGTTTTATCACTGTGAAATGATTTGAAGCATAATCACCTTATGGCTCTCAAACAAAAAAGTAAACATGACTGCTTATTCATTTTAGTGGTTTATGTATGACAAAAAATATTGTCATGATCATTTTGTTCTTTTGCAATTGAATGTCTTGCTCAGAGAAAGAAATCCTCAAGGCTTTAACATTTTTCAAGAGTGTCACATTACTACTATAACATCTGCTGTATTAGGCCCACTTGCTATGAACCATAGTAAGAGTGATATTGAAATCTGGACACCAGCAAACATCGAACCGATGTTTGCTGGTGTCCAGATTTCAATATCACTCTACGTAGACAATATGGTAGACCTGGTCTGCTGGTTTTTCTCAGAGGTTTTGCTGAGAGCTGCTGCTGCTACCTTTTTAAAGCTCTATGAGCATGTGTATTTGTTGTGCTCTCATAAACCTGTGTCCATATTGTATTTATAACTCTATCTCTGTTGATGTTCACCCCCTTTATATAGTTATATGCATTGATAATCAGTAGGCAGGCAGGACAGCACCTTATTGCTCCCTGAATTTCTGCTGGCTTTCTCATGCTGAATACGCACAGGGTAATGAATGAAAGAATCAATGTATTATTTTTGAAGCTTTTGATTTCTGCTGTGTTTGATGGGCATATTTGACCTTTGTGGGTTATATACACAATAAATCAAAGGTTCAGTGTGCAAACAAGACAAGCAGGGCATTGCATTCTACCAATAGATACAGACAAGGAGAAGTAAGATAATCTTTCACTCTTTAGCTAATTGGTAACTTAAACACCCACAAGAAAAAAAATAATAATAGGGGTCCATTCGGTTCTTCGTACCTTGCTTAATAGATCTGAGATGATTTGAAAGATGCCAGATATTCTAATCGTGATAACTGCTCTCTGGCTAATTTGGTTCTTCAAACGAATTTGCGGATTTGATTAAAATATCAGGGTAAAGTTGTCTAAGATTACTGCGCGTTTTTGTGTTCCCTGGAAAGGGCTGATGTATCGATACTCGACCAGAGATGGGCACCACTCGAGTTAAGGACTCGAGTCGCATTTTTATAGACTTCAGACTCGACCTGTAATGACTCCAGACTTGACTCGGCTCAAGGAAAAGTACTTGTGAATATTTTAAAAGCAACTCGAGTCTTAATCCTTATATAAAGTGGGTACGGAAAGTATTCAGACCCCCTTAAATTTTTCACTCTTTGTTATATTGCAGCCATTTGCTAAAATCATTTAAGTTAATTTCAACAATTCTTTGTTTTTCTGTCAATATGGGGTGCTGTGTGTACATTAATGAGGAAAAAAATTTACTTAAATGATTTTAGCAAATGGCTGCAATATAACAAAGAGTGAAAAATTTAAGGGGGTCTGAATACTTTCCGTATCCACTGAAACTGATATTCAAAAGGCGTAACAGCAGCACCATTTTGTGAGCGGCGCGGATCACATAACAAGCTCTCGGGGTCGTTTATGGTAAATATCTTTCAGCGCTATATAGGCTACTCTAGTATTTTTATCTACAGCTAAACGCACTTTATTCAAGCCCTTTCAGCTTAGTGCGCTTTCTCTCTCTCTCTCTCTCTGCGGATAACACATTTTGTGAGCGGCGCGGATCACATAACAAGCTCTCGGGGTCGTTTATGGTAAATATCTTTCAGCGCTATATAGGCTACTCTAGTATTTTTATCTACTGCTAAACGCGCTTTATTCAAGCCCTTTCAGCTTAGTGCGCTTTCTCTCTCTCTCTGCGGATAACACGGTTATTTTAACAACAGAAACACGGAGAACACTAAAACACAGCAGAAAAAGAAACAATGCTGCAAATATAGTTATTTGTCTTACTATCTATTTATTTATCTATAACCTGTTCAAAGCATGTGACAAGTTTCTGATCTACATTTAGCCTTATTAATTTGTAGGCTAAGAACATTTCAAAAGAATCATGCCATTATAATTTGGAAATTGTTGTTAGGCTAGGATAGAACTTAAACTTTGAAACTGCTGATTATCTTTCTTTTCTGCTCAAGATGAGAATGTTTTGAGTATTGTAGACATTTTAGTAGGTAATGCTTTTAAGTAAAATATTAAAATAGTAGGCCCCCACTGGGCAAAGTTACGTCCTGTGGACGTCTTTTTGAAGTCTGCACACGTTGAAAAGACGTCCACTGAGGAGCCAGAATGAAAGTTTTTGACGTCTTTTTTTTACGTGTTCTGCGCGTCCGATATAGACATTCATGGAACCTCCGTACAAGGTTAAAATGTGGTCAGTGGACATTATTTTCAACATCATTTAAGGTTCATTTAGACATAATTTATACTGTTTCTGTACCAAATAAACACACTCGATGCATTAGATTTAAACTCGTGTTATTTCAATGTAATTTCCATTTGTAATTGCAAAGCAACTCAAAGACACTGTTTGTCCAAAAATCTTGGAAATAAAAGAATCTTCTCTGAAACAGTGTTGAAGTTTATGAGATAATTAAATGATCAAATAACTGATGATTGAGCATTTGGTAAAATCAACTGCAAATAAGACATTCAATCTCTCAAGATCTCAACAGTGGATGATTAAAGGGGTCATATGATGTTGCTAAAAAGAACATTTGTGTATTTGGTGTAATTAAATGTGTTTATGTGGTTTAAAGTAAAAAAATAAAAAAAACATTATTTTCCACATACTGTACATTATTGTTTCTATTCTATGCCCAGCCTTTTTGAAACGCGTAGATTTTTACAAAGCTCATCGGTCTGAAAAACGAGGTGTGCTCTGATTGGCCAGCTATCCAGTGCGTTGTGATTGGCCGAATACCGCAAGCGTGTGACGAAAATGTTACACCCCTCACCATACTGTAAGCACGTTTCCATTACCCTTCAAATTGCGCGAATTGAAAATACGCCTAATGGAAACGCGTCAATTTCGCAAAAACTCACATATATCGCTAAAAAGTTTTTGCACTCGCATGAGGCGGTTTTTCAGGGAATGCGAAAAAGGAATAATCCACAAAACTGCAATGGAAACGGCTTTTTCACATTTACAGGTCATATGGCGTATGTAAAAAGTCATATGATCATTCTTCAATGTACTATAACCTCCAAGAAACACTTCATAAGTGGCCGCGCTCCAGTATAAGGGGCTTTCCCTACCATTAATGCTTAGACAATTTACACTGCACAGGTCTGCGGTGCAGTGTGGCCCTGATACGGTCACTGAAGCTGATTGCTTGTGTTTATGTTTTTATACAGTCTATGGTTTATTCCAGCCACGCCACGCACGTTTCTGAAGCGGCTCTCTTTGCTGCTTCTTTAAAGATATTCGCGTAAGCCTCCTTTGAGTAAATATAGCCAAAATCCATTGCCATGACTTATCGCGAGAGACAAAATGTTACGTTTTAGTCGCATAACATTGGTTAATGCAAACGCCGTCATTTCGCAATACTTTTTTATCGACATTTATAAAATATCGCCAAAGTTTTACGCAAATCTGTAATGGAAACATGCCTTGTGATGCTGTGTTCCGGCCGGAGCGACTAGACAAAAAAACATGAAAGCCCATTACAAACGAGGCATTTGTTGCATCCAGTGGGGACATAATTACTGATCATAATGACTTATACTGTCGTTGCGCCGCGTAAACATAAAACCATGTCTGCATTTGTGATCGGAGAAATGACAAAAAAGCGCTACTCTACACTGCTCAAAACTCGCGTTTGAATCTTCAGTGGCAAATCCTTTAAATGAAAACGTACTTACAGTCTGTGAGTCAGAACAGCCGGCATTGTAGTCTACTCTACCAGGATCAGGAAACAGTCCTCCATAAAATGTGGTGTTCTGGAACAGTGTTGTAAAAACAACTTAACCACTGATTTCTAGTCGTGTCCTCTTTTGGAAGGCCAAACAAAGTAGTTTCGCTTTCACAACGAAACACACGGTGGCCTAGCGTGAGCGGAGGAAACGGTGAAAGCCGATCCAGTGATCCACAGCACTAAGTCGATGTATTCCCTCAGCGACCAGCACAGATCAGCTCTAGGCATGACGAAGCGGATATCGTCCTCGTTTGAAAGGCCAAACAAAGTAGTTAAGCTTTCACAACAAAACACACAGCTATTCACGACATGGCGGCGGCAACAATACTACAGCGAGAATAAAAGTTACGCCTTCTTTCTTTGCGTGAACATTTGGGCGGTGTTATGCAAATCTTCCCACATCGTGACGTAGATATGTGGGGGCGTGTTAGAACGAGCCGTTTTAGGTAGGTGTGGCTGACTCTGAACTTTTATAAAGAATATCTCTTTGGATTTGAGACTTTAGTCTTTGCAACTTTACAGATCTTCTTTATGCACCAAGCACTTGTAACAGTCCAAAGAGAAAAGAAAAATTTAAATCTCATCATATGACCCCTTTAAACATCTCCACAAACAGTATCACCAGCTTCACTCATTAGATTGACTTTATTTCTGTCATCTAGAGCAGTGGTTCCCAACCCTGGTCCTGGAGGCACCCCAACACTGCACATTTTGCATGTCTCCTTTCTCTGACGCACCAATTTCAGGTCTTCTCAAATTCTCTACTAATGAGCTGATGACCTGAATCAGGGGTGTTTGATTAAGACATGCAAAATGTGCAGTGTTGGGGTGCCTCCAGGACCAGGGTTGGGAACCACTGATCTAGAGAAGCTCTTATGGAGAATTAACAGAGGTTTAGAAGTTGGTATTTGTTTCATTTGAAGTCACCATTGTCGTGGACAGTGTTCGCTTTAGTTGGGACCTTGGTCCTCATACTTCGTGTGCTAACTTTTCTTTGGTTGCTATAATTGTGTTTTTGTGAAGCACACTAGTTGCTGCAAAAGAGGCCAAAATAAAGTGAAATCATGTGTTGTTAGCTCCTTGAGGATGATGACAAAATGAGCATCTGATGTTGTGCATTTCAGCTTTGTTTTATATTTGGTATTTATAGCCAAGACACCTTGTGAAGTTGCAGTACTGGCACCAAGAGCAAAATAATCGCTTATTCTGAAGATGGACAAAATGCATGAGCTATTTTAAGTAAATGCTTCGTATAGTCATGCACAGACATCAAGATTTTGCACATGAATCACAACAACGGTGACAATCAAAACAAAAAGCTTGGGATTTAAGGATGAGTTTGTACTATGAAGCCACCCATCATGCATTGCAGCATGAAGCTTTTTTGTTTGTTTTGATTGTCACCGCTGCTGTGTCTCATGTGCAAAATCTTGATGTCTGCGTGTGACTACATCATGGGTTTACTATATCCCATGCACATGCATTTTATCCGTCTATGGAATAACTGATAATTTCAATACTCTTGGTGCCAGTACTGGAATTTCACAAGGTTTGGTGGCTGTAAACGCCAAAAATAAAATCATCATCAACAAGGAGTTAATAATACCTGATCTCGCTATATTTTGGGCTCTTTTGCAGCGACTACTGTGTTTCACAAAAACAGTGGTGGACAGTAATGGAGTAGTTTTAATTCGTTACTGTACTGAAGTACATTTTTCAAGTATCTGTACTTTACTGGAGTAGATTTATTTTGAGTAACTTTTACTTTTACTTCACTACATTCTAAAGCATAAGATCATACTTTTTACTTCACTACATTACACTCCTTATAATATATCACGTGCTCCGAGACGCAGAAGGGGTGTCTGATTCATGAATGAACTGATTCTTTTCAATGAACCTGTAAGGGAAAGAGGTCAATTTAACTCAAAGGGAATCATTTAAAATTTGAAAGGGAATTTGGACAGAATCACTGTTTTACGGCTGATCACTGAGACGGCCAGCGATTCCTTGAACGAGCCGTATAACATCAATTCTGCAATGGATATTAATATCCAAAGTATAGTGAAAACACTATTTATTAGCACAGTAACAAGATCGGCAGTTTAAGACATTAACTTGTAAGCATAAAACACAAGATACTTCTCTTTTCAATATAAATAAGGCTTTATTGGATACATCTAAGACATATAACTAATCTAACACATGAACACACGCATTCACACAAGTTGCAGAAAGAGAGAAAGTGAGAATTAGTTTAATAGAATGAAAATGTGAAATCCCAAGTTTACAGCAATATGTGCAATTGCATAGACATGAACAACCATCAATCACTTAATTAACCCT